TTGATACCCCTGGTTTAGATAGAGTCAGCTCATTAGCCCTGTTACCCATTGTTTAACTCATGGCTTGTTTAATCATATAGAAAAAGACACTCTTTAAGTTCATCCATATTGTTCAAAAGTATGACATTTCAAACTGCAATAACTGAGCTTACAAAACAAACTAGATAAGAATGTGTGAGGCTGGATTCCTATTAGCCTAAGCCATATTTTTTTAAAAAAAATATGGTTTGATGAATAAGACACATTGGTTGAGTTTACACATATCACAAATCGTGGTTTAGATTCACAAGAAGCTGCAAAACAAGCGTGGTTATTAGATACCATGGTTTAACACAGCTTGTAAACTCTGCCACTGCGGTCTTACTGAAAGTTGGAACCTAGCATGGCTCTCCTTAGGATAGGTCTTGTTGTCTAAGGCAGGGGCGTCAAACTCAAGGCCGCAGGATGGATCCGGTCCGCCAGGTGCTTCAATCTGGTTTGCGGGGCCAGCCAGGAAATAGCAAAGGACTGGCCCACAGTGCCTCTGACACCCAAAATGGGACACGGGGGGGGTGCATTTGGGCCCCGTGGGCCATTTTCAGCCTGGATGACCTCTTGCAGCACTCTGCCAACCAAAAAGGGCTGTTTTGGCCGGCAAAGTGCTGGAGGAGGCGCCTGTCCCATCCCATGGACCCAGCACATGGAGAACTACAGTGTTGGTCCCTCCCTTGAAGAAATCCAGTTTGACACCTCTGGTCTAAGGACTGTGCACGAATATCATCCAATTCATCATTTTTCTTCATTTTTCTTTTTCATATCATTTCTCAGTATATATTTTTCTTCCTCCAGAAAAACCAAAAAACATACCACCATTTGAATCAGCAAAGGCTTTTTGATTTCACTGAAGTGACCTGTTTGGGTTATTTGGGGGAAAGGAACACTTGTGTAATTGAAATCTTCACTGTTCTGGCACAACTATTAACCAATTCCGCAGGGAGCTCCCTTAATTAACCCTTCTGCAGTATTTAATTCATTGGAGACTTCTGAAAGACTTCTTAATTAGGTCTTTAAAAATAAGGCAGAGATGTGCAGAGTGTTCTTGGAGAGTAAGTGCCAGGCTTGTTCCTGAGAAGAGGTTGGACTAGACCTCCACCCCCAGATTCTTTGTGCCCTATTGCTGCTGTGGTCCTTTCCTATTTTGTGTTGTTCTGCAAAAGAACAACAGCGCTGGGGAACTTCAATACAGAGCAGTTTGACTAGGAAAGGGCAGCTGGATGAATCAGAATGTTATTAAAACTAGCGACAACAAAGTAGAGTTGGCACATCCAAATCGCTGAATGCACCCATGGGTAGCAATAGGAAGGTTAATTTAATACAATGCTTCTGAAATCAAAAGCTGAGTGGAAAAGATATCAGAATTTGTGAGGGTCATGCACACTTATGGAGGCGCCACAGCCTTTAGCTGATTGTCTCCTCTATCTAAATTAACCAGAAATGAAATTGGCTTAAGAAATGTTTTTCCAGATTTTAACACTTCCCATGTTTTGGTCATGGTGGTGGCAACATGCTCTGCCTATATTGCAGCTAATGCAGCTGCCAATTGGTGGGTTCTCCTGATAACTGACAGTTCTCAATCTTCAAGGTAACTCAGTGCCCATTCAAAGTTACAATGGCACTGAAAAAAAGTGACTTATGACCGTTTTTCACACTTACAACCATTATAGCATCCCCAGGATCACGTCATCAAAATTCAGATGCTTGGCAACTGGCTTGTATTTATGACAGTTGCAACCTCTCAGGATCACATGATCACCTTTTGCAACCCTTTGATATGCAAAGTTAGTGGGGAAGCCAGATTCACTCAACAACCATATTACTAACTTAACTGCAGTGATTCACTTAAGAACTGAGGCAAGGAGGATCATAAAATGGGGCAAAATGCACTTAACAACTGTCTTGCTTACTAACAATTGTGCTCAATTGCTCAACTGTGGTCGTAAGTCAAGGACTACCTGTATTTTCTCCTGCCCTGCATGCCAAGAAAGCAAGTAGGAATTGTTTTCCTTTCTATGGCTGGCTTTTTTGAGGTGGAGAAATAGAGAGCCACAGGCTAATCAGTGCAGATTTTTTTTCATTGATGTTACCTTGTTGAGTAATCTCCAAGCAAATTCTACAAGCAAACAACCAAGCTCAGGGAGTATTCCACAATTCAACTCTGAGCCACAGATACTCACTTCTGTTGGAGTTTTACAGGCCTTGTCACTTAAGTTCAAAGAGGAAACTTGACAAAAACCCCATCAATTTAGTTTAAAAAAAAATTGAAACTAAATTTTAAGAATGGCCAGCATTTACTAAGGTCCAGCTTTTCACAATAGGTGGCCCAATAACACATGAAATGATATGGTGAAGCATTAGAGGTGAAGCATTAGAGCAATGGTGGGATTCAAATTTTTTTGCTACCAGTCCTGTGGGCGTGGCTTGGTGGGCATGGTGTGGCTTGGTGGACATGGCAGGGGAAGGATAACCTTCCACCGCACCAGGGGGAAGGTTATTGCAAAATCCCATTCCCTCCCACCCCACTAACCTGCTTTCCAGCTCCGTTCTCCTGTGCAGGGCAACCAAAGAAGACCAAGCCAATCAGCTGGGGCTCAGGAGGCAGAGACTAGATGGGGGCGGGGCCAGTCAGAGGTGGTATTTGCCAGTTCTCTGAACTATTCAAAATGTCCGCTAGCGGTCAGAACCTGCTGAATACCACCTCTGCATTAGAGGCATGCCCACCAGAACACAAGCATTTGAGTAAAATGGAATGAAGCATATTCCCCTGCTTATAACAGAATAACCATGGTGAGCAGTGGATAGAATGCAGTACTGCAGGCTACTTCTGCTGACTGCCAGCTGCCTGAAATTGGCAGTTCAAATCTCACCAAGTTCAAGGTTGACTCAGCCTTCCATCCTTCCAGGGTTGGTAAATGGGGACCCAGATTGTTGTGGGGCAATATGCTGACTCTGTAAACTACTTGGTGTGGGCTGTAAAGCACTGTAAAGTGGTATATAAGTCTAAGTGATATTGTTATTGCTGTAACAGAGTTGGAAGGGACCTTGTAGGTCATCTAGTCCAACCCTCTGCCCAAGCCAGAGACCATTTATGTCAACAGAGAAGGGAAAACACTACTTCAGTTGCAAAGCAAGAGAACTCAGCATGCTGATGATAACTGGGTTGACCAAGAGATGCTGACAGAGTCTTGTCTCAGCTGCTTGGAAACATGTACACCTGGACTGTATCCTAAGGTAAAACAAGCTACATGATTTTCCCACTTGAACGCTGTCAGCTAACTCTCAAGATACACCAAATCCCAAAACTCCCTTACAGCCAAGACATTTTATTCAGACTGTAGGCCTCTGCTGACTCTTCTGCTCCTCAGTCCATGTCACAGCAACTCTGGATCTAGCTAGTGTCATTGCCAGTCAATCTGACTCTGGGCCTGGAATCACCACAGAAAATAGACACTGTCCAAATTTTTATATGAACTTTTCAGTAGGAGATTATTTCATGGCTCTGCAGTGTTAAGAGGTTTCAGAAAGATGACAAGATAGCTTAGCACTAAATCAAATATATATATATACTGTATATTGGGGAGAAATACTGGAAGTAGTGAGAATCCCCACAAGAAGACCAATGCCCTTCACCATTTCATGTCAAAAGCATCTTCTATCCATCTTCATGGAGTGCAACAATAATGCATCTGGATGGCTGTTGTTTTTCAGGATTGCCTTATGGACCACAAGATATAAAACAGATTTATGGAGCCCTAAGTCTGAACATAAAACCTTGCTTGTGAGTCATCAGTCTGCAAACGCTGGAAAGATAAAACTGTAGTCTGTTCTATGGCAAGATTTCTAGTGCACCATTTGTCCATTGATTTATTTATCAGAAATATTTTTATCCTGCCATTCTTCTACTGTAAGCCTGGATGATATAAATATTTCTGAGCACCAGCCTTGTTCCCAGTTTCCAAGACGCAAAAGTGCTGTTCAAAAATAAATTTAGAAACTGAATACAGTCTAATTAAAAGGATAAGACGTCAGACATTAAAATATTATCATTCAGGGTAATGAACATTAGCCAACTTGCTTCTACTGACCTAAAATGCCTGGAGAAACATTAGATAATGATGTGAGGTTAAGATGGTAAAATAATTCTAGCTCTGCCTGTAATAACAATGACGAAAGTCTACAGGTAGTCCTTGACTTACAGCCATTTGTTTAGCAACTGTTCAAAGTCACAATGGCACTGACAAAAGTGACATGACTGTTCATCACACTTATGGCTGTTGCAGCTTCATATGGGCAAAATGTGGGCACTTGACAACCAGTATGTATTAATGACAATTGCAGCATCCCAGGGTCATGTGATCACCATTTGTGAGCTTCCCAGCTGGCTTCCAACAGGCAAGTCCCTGGGGAAGCTGGATTTGCTTAATGACCACATGATTCACTTAACAGCCATTGCAAAAAAAAGGGTTTGAAATTGAGCATGATTCACTTAATTAAAAAAATCCTTGCTTAGCAATGGAAATTTTGGTCCCAATTGTGGTCAAGGTCATAAATCAAGGACTACCTGAGCGTATTACATTTCTTTCCTTTTTTGACAAGTAATAAGGAGGAAACATTTTGTGTGCAAAGATTGGGGAGATTCCTGAGACCCAAAGGATCCATCACAAAATACACAAATATGTTCTCCAGATAGCTAGAGTCCCAGCAGAAGGAGCAGCCATTTTTACTGTATTCCAAATTTAAACAGAGGACAAAACACATCCCATTGCTTCAACTGGTTCACAATGATTATGTTGCATATGCAGAAAGAGCCTTTGCTTGACAGATCTGCCTCCTGCTCCCGCTAGATTCCTTGGCAGGCTCTTATGGTGATTTTGACATGAGGAAATTGGAGCACATTTTCAATGCCAAGCTAAGACGTTCAATCACAGAAGCACCATCCACTTAACATGGAGGATGTGTCAATTTCAGGCTTTTTCCTTCTTTGCAAAAATGGAAATCGGAATAGAGGTAGAAATGTCAGGGTTGCCATCTCCCTGAAAGTCGTAGCTTTTGTTCTCAATGCCTGAAACAAGAGGTTCCAAGAAGAGTCAAAAATAAGTGAAAAACAAAGAAAAGACCCAAACTGCTATTTCTTTACATGTCTGATTGCCTCAAAAGTAGCCCAAACTTCATGGGGCCCCAAACCTCATTATAAACACAGTAGAAAAGGGCTGCCATTGGAGCATGCCCAGTTTACAAAATGGTTGCCACGGTAGAAGACGCTGGTTACAGAAACCAACATACCGAAGAACAAATGAGGAAAAGTGTTTATTATTGCTGCTTGAAAGCTAGTTTGGTCTAGTGGTTAAGGCACCAGGCTAGAAAACAAGCGATCGTGAGTTCAAGTCTCACCTTAGCCATGAAAGCCAGTTGCGTGACTTAGGGCCGGTCACTCTCTCTCAACCCAACTCACCTCACAGTGTTGTTGTTGTTCGGAAAATAAGGAGGAAGGAAGGTGTGTGGGATGTGTTTGCACCTTGAGTTATTTGAAAAATATAAATAAATAGCCCACAGCTTACTTTCATTGTGTATCTTTGAGGAAAGATGGCAAATGACCTCACACATTTGATGATATCTCATAAAAGATATGGGTTATATTTTCTGGGTGATGTCATCATACCTTTAAGTTTACTTTAGTCTTTTCCTTAAGGCAAGTATGCACATTTATAAAAACCTGAACAGCATCTACTCACCTTGGTCTGTATGCCAAACAAATGACCCATTGGAATACCCATATCAAAACAACTTACCTTATGTGTGGCCAGAACCTGAAAGTAACATTTAACACAGCACAGTACTCAAGCAAAATGGTTCAGTTGAGATCTGCATACGTGGGACTGATCGGGGTAGATTGTAAGGGTGACACCGGAATATAATTTTACCATATTTTATCTATATCTTAAATTATTGAATTTTGTTCCAATTTCATTTTAAATTATATTTTATTCCAATTCCATTTTAAATTGCTTTTATCAAATTTTAGTAATAATTTGTTTCTGGAACTCTGCACTTTGATATACTTTAGTCTTTTCCTTAAGGCAAGTACGCATATTTACAAAAAAACTGGACAGCATCCACTCACCATATTTATTTTCTAACAATACTTATGGCAGTTATGTGAAATCCAAGGCCATTCTGAGAATGAGGATGGTTTTTGGAAGCTGGTGGTCTGCTGCTTGCTGTGTAATTTGGTTTAAAGTTAAAATAAGCTTTAATTTGAAAAAAAAAAAAGAAGCAAAATGGAAAGAGACAGGCAGGGGGCTAGTATGTACCAATATAGACATGTGTGAGCACATGGGTGCCTCGTGGGGGATCCCAGTGGTTATTTTTTTTAAAGTTGTTTCTGGTTTTAACATCGTGCTAAACTAACATTCTTCATTTAATAAAAGATTTGTACTCCCTCAATATGGGGAGGGTGTTTTTTTTGCAGCTAATTTCTCTGAAGTGGTTTTGGAGGGCAGCTTGACTTCCTTCTTTTTCAAACAAGGCAAGAAAAGATTTTGAAATGAACGCAATGCCTAAAATACTTCTTTCCTACTGGAAATACCAACAATTATGGCCCTTGGCAGGTCCTTCTGCCCTGTTTCCTGAGTGACAAGGCTCGTGGGAAACTATACAGCCTTAGACTCAGGGGTCTCGTTGTCTGGGAAACCTGCAGAATGTCGCATGATGAAGGAAGGCTTAAAACTCCTTGCCTATTTCATAAAAATAAAAGGAGCTCCAAGAAAATAGTCTCCATCCACAGTCTCTGGTACATTTGCTTCCACAGAAAAATCTGTACTGGAAAAATAGGCCTCTCTTTTATCAAAAGACACAATGCTGTTTATTGCTTGGGCGAAAGACCATTCCAGACAAACAAAAGTGTTTTCTACAATAGATTGCAAACAGAAGGGATTCCCTAAGACAGAGAGGCCTGGCTGTGTCCATCTGTGTTCTTCTCTACAAAGAAAGAAGGGCTCCCCTGCCCATCCTCAGATTTAACTGCTAAAGATTTTGTGGAGGGAAGTTCAACCTGATTTGCTATATTATGTTATATTATGTTATATTATATTATATTCTTATCTTATAGAATATTATTGAATATTATTATATTTTCTCCACCTTTATTATTTTTACGGATGACTCAAGAAGGCAAAAATATCCAACACACTTTCTGCCTCCTATTTTCTCCACAACAACCCTGTGAGGTGGGTTGGGCTGAGAGAGAGCAACTGGCCCAAAGACACCCAGCCAGCTTTTGTGGCTAAGGTGGAACTTGAATTCACAGGCTCCTACTTTCTAGCCTGGTGCCTTGACCCTGAGACCAAATTGGCTCTCTTTTATTATTTATTCATTATACAAATTTATATGGCCACCCAATCCACACATTTAATGATTGCATGATTCATTTAACAATTGCAATGATTCACTTAATAACTGTCATTTTAAAAAGTTCATAAAGAGGGGCACAATAACACCTGCCTTATTTAATAATGGAAATTTTGGACTTAATTGTAATTGTAAGCTGAGGTGTATCTGTATCTCTGTGGCCTGATCATGCAATTTACTGGATTATGAGATTTGTGTAGTTTTGCCTTAGTATGATCTGTGAATGCACCCCGTTGTGATATATTTCATCAAATTATAGTATACTGCATTGTGTGATGATGCTACCTAATATGTTTATATGAGTAAATTAATGAATATTCAGATACAAATATGCTTTGTTGCCTAAACTGGGGCCTCTTAAGACAGAAACATAGTGGATGGCTTGTACGATATGCTAAACAAAAGACAGATCCAATTATCTGCACCCAATTAAACATTTGACTTTGCTGTGTAAATTTCCTTTCCTTGCAGGTAATCCTCAACTTGCAATCATTCATTTAGTGACTGTTCAAAGTTACAGCTGTACTGGAAAAAGTGACTTACAACCAGTACCAGCATTAACAACCATTGCAACATCACCAAAGTCACATGACCAAAATTCTTGGCAGGCATTTATGACAGTTGCAGTTGTCCTGGGATCACATGATTGTCATTTGTGACTTTCCCAGCTGGCTTCTGACAAGGAAAGACAGTGGCGGAAACCAGATTCATTTCACAATTATGATATTAACAATTGCAAATGATTTGCTTAACAGCCATAACAAAATAGGTCATAAATCAGGTGTGTCTCACTTAACAACTTCCATGCTTAACAATAGTTTCTGGTCTTAATTGTGGTCATAAGGACTATCTGTATCTTGTTTTTCTACCCCTCGTTCGCCTACTGTACTGTGCCATGAAGACGGCAGTTTTAGTCTCAGGACTTGCCTCTAGTCATGTTCTGGGAGCTTCAGACTCTTTTGACAAATGGACTGGGAGTCTGAATGCATGTTGGGGACTACAACAATCATTCATGATAGCAGTGTTCCAATATCTCAGGGGCTGCCACAAAGAAGAGGGAGTCAAGCTATCCTCCAAAGTATCTGAAGGCAGAACAAGAAGCAATGAGTGGAAACTAATCAAGGAGAGAAGCAACCTAGAGAACTAAGGAGAAATTTCCTGACAGTTAGAACAATTAATCAGTGGAACAACTAGTCTCCAGAAGTTGTGAATGCTCCAACACTGGAAGTTTTTAAAAAGATGTTGGATAACCATTTGTCTGAAGTGGTGTAGGGTTTCCTGCCTAGGCAGGGGGTTAGATTAGAAGACTTCCAAGGTCCCTTCCAATTATGTTATTCTATTCTATTCTAAAATGCTTGAAATGGAAGACTTCTAAGGAATATGACATATGCAAATCTATTCATCCTCAAAGCAAAATTATTATCTTCTAAATAAACTACTTCAATTCCCCCCCCCCCCCAAACAAGTTAGATTTTGGTTTCCCAGAGCCTTTAATAGTTCCAACATCATCTAGAAGTATCAAGATCACAGCTAAGATAAAATCCATGGGATAGTAAAATGTTATGTCTATGATTCCCAACACTTTTGTCTTTCTTACAGAATCTAAGGCTTATAGTATCTTATAGTTGTCATTTAATGTTTTATGAGAACTGGTTCTCGGATTGATAAGATGTCTAATATCTGCTTCCAAAACAATTACCATGCAGTGTTTCCCTGCTCCACAAAATAAAAAAGAAGCAACCCTCCTTTTTTATGTGGAAAGTTGAAAGAAAAATAGAAGCCTCCCTTAATTTACCTACATGCAGATTTCTCAACTGAAATTAGAGTGGTCATCTCTCCATCTTTCTCAGTTTTATCCAGAGATGCCAAGAAGTGAATTTTAGTCAACCTTTGGTGCAACTGAGCTGCACTATGATCTTTTTTCAGCCCAGATTTAAGGAAAGAAATCTTGGGATGTAGGATAAAAGTCTTTGAAGTTCAAGAGAGTCTGATTGCAGCCTTTCTCTGAAAAGCTCTGCAGATAATGTCATGAACCCAACTGGCTCCAATCCACCACATCAACAACATTTTAAATGCCACAAGATACTTTGTTGCATTCACTGCAGCAGCTGAATGCAGTCGGCCCTCCAGGGGAAAAAAAATAACTCTGTTCAGAAAAGACAGAATCAGGTTATTGAGCTGACCTGTTTTCTGGACTCCCACAATACATTAAGCAATAACTCGACCATAATAGCAGTTTGCACCGCGCACTAAGCTCCCACCCCAGCCCAATATTAAATGCATATTGTAAAAATGTTATGTCTGTATCTATCTTGATTAATTGTTGGTGAAAACAACCCAATAAGTGGAAGTTCTGATGCTGTCTCTCCTTCTGAATGTCTAAGACTATGCCTAGTAAGAGAAAGCATCGAAGTCTTTTGGAAGTGGATTTATATGTTGTTTTAACTTCCCTGACTTTACTCCTGGAAAGCTAAACCATCCCAAAAGGTTTTTGCTGGATTGTGCAGTCCAGTTCCTATCTTATCCAGTTAAGGGACTATTGTTGAGAAGGTGGCAGGCTGACAGCTCCAAAATTTCTGGAGGAAGCAGATGATCCAGACCTGTATCACTCAATGTTCAGGCTACGATATACCACTGAAATGGCAATGGTTGCAGGAACTGGGCATGGCTACCCGGGGTGGGATTCAAATTTTTTAACAACCAGTTCTGTGGGCGTGGCTTAGTTGGTGGGCACGGCTTGGTGGTCATGTGACTGGCTGGGCATGGCCAACTCAACATCACTCACATCAAGGTACACATCTCCTCGCCAGGCCTCTCATGACTGTGGGGATACTGCAACAGTCGTAAGTGTGAAAAAGTGAGCATAAGTCACTTTTTTTCAGTGCCATTGTAACTTTGAATGGTCACTCCACACAAGCATTGTACCAGCAAAGAAAGGGAAAAAAAACTCCAGAGACGTTCCTGAGACAGGAAGTCTAGTCCTGCCAGGAATGTAATAAGGGTTAACAGAGAGGCAGTTTCTGTAAGCAACACCAGAATGTTTCCTTCCTGCCTTCCTTACAGGATTAGGCCAGTAATTTCTTCTAACAACCAATTCTCTGAACTGCTTAGAATGTTAACAACCGGTTCTAGAAAATAGGTGCGAACTGGTAGAATCCCACCCCTGATGGCTACTCTAGTGAAGAGAAAGACCAGGGGAGACATGATAGCAGGGTTCTAATATTTGAGGGGCTGCCACAGAGAGGAAGGGGTCAAGCTATTTTCCAAGGCACCTAAAGACCAGACAATGAATAATGGTTGGAAACTGAACAAGGAGAAATTCAACCTGGGAAATAAGGAAAAATTTTTCAGTGAGAACAATCAACGAATGGAACAGCTTGCCTCTGGAGGTTCTGGGAACTTCATCACTGGAAGCATTCAAGAAGAGACTGGACTGCCATTTGTCAGAAATGGTGTAAGGTCTCCTGCTTGGGCAGAGGGGTTGGGTTAAGTGACGTACAAGGTCCCTTCCAACTCTGTTAATCTGTATCTTTGACAGGATTTATGGTAGACTCAGGATGAGAGTGGTGCATCCATTTTGGCCCAGCCTGATCTATTAATGGCTTTTGATAGGAACGATTATAGTATCTTTCTGGACCAGTTGAGAAGGTTGGGAGTGGGAGACACTCCTCTTCCCTACATTCCAGTTGGTGTTCCGTGAGGGGTGGGGAGAAAGGTGGGGAGAGAACGTCCAGCTCTACACTTCTGCTATGCGAGGTTATGCAGAGCTTGGTGTGTTCTCTGGGCCCAGAGTTTCTTGGATACAGTAGATGGGAGGCCTTATAAATTGGATGGATGGAAGATAGATAGATAGATAGATAGATAGATAGATAGATAGATAGATAGATAGATAGATAGA